TGGCCTCAATTGCCATCCCGATGTCGTCGGGTCACCCACGACAACCTCCAGTGCCATGTTAGAATGCCGACCATGCCGCCGCGGTGCGTGATCGGAAATGGGCATTGGCAAGGCTTAGTAGGTTCCCAACCACGGATAATCTGATTAATCATAAAAGATCACGAGCCTGAGCTAGATTGACCATATGGCATTCGGGAAAGTTTGACCGCGTCCTGGAGAGCGTATATATCAACACTTCTGCCGTACGATTGATCCGGTGTTCCCCAGGGATCAATTCTGAGTGTCACTCTGTTTGCCATTGCTATCAATAGTATCGTATCAGTAACTAGAGTGCTTGTGGAGACATCGCTCTTCGTTGATGATTTTGCCATATTCTGTTCCCCAAAGAGCATGCAAGTTATTGAGGAGCTGTTACAGCTTGTTCTCAACAAACTGCAAGAATGGAGCGACAAAACAGGATTGAAGCTCTTTACCTCAAAATCCAGTTGCATGCACTTCTGTGGAATATATTATCTCCTTAATCATCCTGATCAACTTCCCTTTGTCGAATCTGCCACTTGGCCTGACATTCGACAAGAGTTTAAAACGGCGAAATCACATTCAAAACTTGAAGAGCCACTGTGTATCACCATTGAACCTCCTTCACACCCTTACTGGTAAATCATGGGACGCAGACCGATAATGTCTCTTGCAACTACATAGGACTATCATCCGTCCTATCGTAGATTATTGGTGTATTGTTTATGGATCGGTCAGCGTTTCCGTTGACCTCCTCGGCCAATGAATACCATACCCAATACCGGTATGCGGATCAGCTCAGGCGCCTGCCACATGAGTCGCATTTAATGCCTCTTGGTTGAGGTTGGTGAACCATTCCTGAGCGGAAGGCGAGATATTATAATCGGCTCAAATTTTGCGAAAGTATCAACTATCAAATACTCCTTCGCGTCAAGCAGTTCTTCGCCAAAGTGACACATTATCCCATTCTCCGGGTATCCGTCTCTACACGCCCTTGCAGAAACTCCCCATCCTTGTGAACCCCGCCCCCGAAGTCTTGTTCCTCCTTGGAAGAGATTATCACACTTACCCAAATCCTCAACTTCCCCCAGTACATTAATGCCATGCGGAGTCTTCGACTAGACTTCGTGCAGAGCTTATTCTGCAGAAAAAAATACGTTATTCGAGGCACTGACGGTCGCTCAATCGATGACATTAAAAGAAACTATGATCTGCAGTGCTTAAAAAAGCTCGCTCGAATCTATCTCCTGCTTCTCTTCTTGTGACCCTCCGACAATGTTTATCCAACACCAAATCCGTTTACTGGTGCGCCATTATAATTTGTTGTTGTTTTTTGTTGGATCCCTGGTCACGTTGGGATAATAGGGAACGAAATTGCTGACCAGGCAGCAAAGCTCACCACAAAGAAAAAATCCATAGAGGTGTACATCTTCACACTCCCAACAAACGATACCAAGCTGTTTATCAAACACTGCAGTCACAGTGCATGGCAAACAGAGTGGCTGAAATCAGATTTTAAACTCACGAGAAGCAAGGTTTTCAAAAAGCCTTGGTCTGCGCGGTGACCAAGGCGGCGGCGCCATTTTCTCCACGATGACCCACCCCCCCTACTTGCGATAGTTGCAAGAGGAATCATGTGGAGCATGTTCTCCTGCACTGTTCTAAGGTAAGAGATAGCCGCCGAAGGCTTCACCTCGCTAGCTCTCTAGCACAGGTACTTAAAAACGAATCTTCTCTCTGCAAGCTTCTTATCAGAGTGAGACATTTACAGCATTATCTGAGAGAAGAGAAATATGCCAATTATTTGACTTTTAATTTGACATTTAAAAGTGTTATTCTAACTCTTTTCTGTCAATCCCTTTTTCAAATATCTGAACATGTTTATTTTCAGTTTTACTCACATTTTACCTTGCATTAAAAATGTTTTAGTCTTAGTTCCAATGACCTTAGTTGGCCTTAATCATCATTATCATCATCATCATCATCATCACAAACAGTGAAGTGTTGGCGACAGGCTGGGAAAGCAATGCTTAGGAAATTTTATTCACTGGAAAAGTTGGGAATTTTTTTGTATTAAATATTATTTTTAAAGTAATTAAAATAAATTGCCATCATTGTTACAATGAATGATGGGACAACATATGCTCGAAAGTGCTGTTCTGACAAAATTGCTTTTGGAAGTATTATTGTTCTCAAGCTCATTTGTTGATTTAATATCAAACAAATTAAAATGAGTGGATGATGTACAGGGAAGAAGCACAAACCATGAACATTTTCCAGAGCTTCGGAATCCCAATCCCTGCCCATCTACAATAGTGTGGATCTAAGTTGAATTGTGAATAAAGGTAGCAATGCGCGTTTTGGGGAAAATTTATTAACAAGAACTAATCACGCCCATGAAATAGGAACTATTCGCATTGGAAAATGAACTACAGACTTCAGCTTTTACCACTTATTGGGCCCCAAGTAAAAGGAACTGTCTATCTCGAGAACTTGGAGAATGATTTTTTATGGTACTAATGACAAAATAACTAAATTACCCCTTTACACCTCACAGAGTTAAAGAAAAATGTGCACATAGTGAAAGTACAATTGTCGTGAAATAAGACAGGGTGATCTATGTGGTTGGCCAATGGAACAAAGGAAACTGAACCAAAAACTGATCAAGAAGGGGTCTTTGACATAGAAGAATACTTGTTACATTCATGTCTTTTGCATTATACAATACAATTGGTTACTAACTTATTTATACCATAATAAAAATGAATATCATTTTGGTTTTTGATGGTCAGTAGTAGAGAAGAGTTACACAGTGGAAAATATTTTATTTGGCATTTAAAGTGCAATAGTAATTATTTACTTTTGTATATCCATGATTGTCAAGTAATGTATTATATGTGGATTGATGTGTGACACCTGATGAATTTGGTTCCTACAGTGCGCATTGTAATTGCAGATTTCTGTTTTGTATGAAAATACGTTCCCTCATTTGAAGTCAGATTTGGTACTGATTCATAAATGGAGCAAGGCAATGCTAGGATTCCTATTTAATAAAGAGAAGCTTACAGGAATAACTTTGAATGCCATTTGTATATTATTTGTAGTTGTTTCTTCTGTAATCTAAGTCTAGGCTTTGCCAAACGTCCTGATATGCCCTCAATATCGACATGTGTTCCCTTGACCCGCCAGATTTTTCCTTGTTCCTTGAACACAGGAGGTCAAGATAGACGCTAGAATTAAAATATAAATAATGAATGAGAGTAAAAGGTGATCGACTTATAAAAACAGTGGAAAATGAAGTGTTAAGTTCATTTTTAGACACGCCAGAAATTTACGTGATTAAGAATATAGAAGAAGAAAAAAAAATAGAAAAAGGGTGAAAGTTGAGAAATAAATAAAGTGATACGTGAACGAAGGCCAATAGGAAGGAACCATTAAAGAAGATGTGCAGCAATTGGCAAGAAGATGGAGAATTATGACGCTATCGGTCAGAAAGAAGACAAGTGAAAGGAGACTTATGTATTATGGCTTGACGAATAGAATGTGCTTAAGCGTGAGAGAGTATGCAACGCGATTTTTAGTTAATTGAGCAACGGATTAATAAGGGACGGTAATTTCGGGCTTTATTAAAAATCGGACTGAAAGTGAAATCGGAACGGGTTCCAGCAACAAGATGGCGTGGAGCAATGAAGGTGGAAAGTGATGATGATTATGATAATGATAAGTTTAAGGGTGCTTCATAGGTGTAAAGTGATTACCACATCGATTACTCATCGGTACATGATCACATATTCAAAATACCTTAAACTTCTCTTTTATCATTTTATGTAGAAAGATTGGTGATAGAGCATTATCTAAAGGACGCACTATCAAAGCTGACATTGAATCAATTGTTTTGAAGTTCTTGCCAAATTACCATTTTAAAATCAGCCCATAGAGTATGAGGTGCTCCCATACTCGCAAAAAGCTCATATGTTTCAGGAAGGAGGGTCGTTATTTAACTTTTCTTAACTATGTCAAAAAGCCCGTCTCATATAAGGTATTTCTTTTTATTGTTATCTCCCTCTCTTGGTCCTTTATTTTGTTGTTACATCAATTAATGATATAAAAATAAATTAGCTAACAGCATCTTTTTTGTTTAGTATTTAATGTTTACTTATTTAATTTGATCTTCTGTAAGTTGTAAGTCTTACATGATTGCAAGTTGTCACCGGTTCCCTGGAAGCAAACGAATCATATTTTTTTTTATATTCTTTTTCTATTTCTCTATCGACCTTTTTCTCTTTTTGGGATTACTAGTCACAACAGGTGTCACAGAAAATTCCCCGCAGCCGACGGGTAGGTCGGCGCCGGATCTCATCAAGCGGGGAAGGAATCAACGCCACCTCCTGGGACCAATCATTCACTATACTAACGGAACTAATATCCATAGCAGTTGATTGATGCTTCCGGGCACATCAACTGTTACGGCCGTTAGATCCGTTCGAGTAATGTTTTATCCTGGATGATTCCTTTCTCGTTGGATGGAGCGATTCAGTGCCGACTTGCATGTCGGGATGCGGAGGATATCCGCTTCCAAGTATCTCCCTCCAAGAGGGTAACACCCCAGCCGCGACACGCTCTAAACTTCATACTGGTCTCCCGACATGTGTGGTAGTAACTGGAAAGGATAGTGCAAGGAAGAGGAAGGAATAATCACGTGCGGTACGTGTCGAAAATCAACCATCATTGGCACTCGAACTTAGGACCTCACGGTCGGAGTTGCTGCGTCAAGCTGCCTCTCAACTAAACTCAGCCGATCATGTAGTTGAGGTGCATATGAAACACACACGTACTCACATATATACTCATGACGCTATACCCACTTTCGCTCACACGGCAGTACCCACTTCTTCTCAAGCGAACACCAACAGATTTGAGGCACATTAGTTTGAATAGGGTCTATAAGGGTTCAAGAAAATTTCATTATAAAACATTAACAATATAAGAGTATGGATGAATTTTTTATTGAAATAACCGACTTTCTTCCTGGATTTAATAAATTAAATATTACAATTAATTATGTCTTTGGTGTTATCTGTAAAGGCCCATGACACATTGATCTTGTAGGAAAAATATCAATATGAATTCAAATTGCTTAATATTTTTTGTCTTTTTAATTTTTTTTAAGTTGTATCAATTATTCTCTGATTTTAACAAGTTACTTTCCAGAATATGATAAATCCTATGCAGTAGATGTTAACATTTGCACCTATATATTGTCTCCCTTGTTGGACATCAAATTCTGGGAAATAACATTGTACATTTGAATTCTTGAAGATATGACTTGTAGCCAGTTATTTATGAGAACAAATCACACTAAATAGTATATAATAAATATTCAAGTAACTGAAGCTAAGGAATGAAGCATGCAAATTTCATGGCACTTGACAGAATTATTATTTCCTAAATGAAATTAAAATTATCACAGTATTCTATACAGCACATATTTCATACTTGCATACTAGAGAGGGATTCATGATATTATGCTCACAAACACTTTCATGCATCTATAGATATTACCGTGAGTACAAAATATATTACAATATAAACATATCACAAGAAGTGATGAATATTATTTAAATTTACATGTTTTCTGAATGTATTATTTATCTCAGCATCTGCTATTATATATAAAATAAAATAGGTAATATATTTTTCTGTCTAGAAAAATATTGTTCTAGAGCCAAGACAAATTTCACTCCATAACTTTACCTATACATTTATTATTTTGTTTAGCAAATGCATTTATAAATGTAATGGTGGGAATGCTTTTGATATTGTCTGCATGTTCACCATCATCACAAAACCTGTCTTGACTCCTCTGACCATACAATATACAACAAAATATTCAACATCTGCGTTCAAGGAATGCAGTACATTGAATAACATGTCCTAGGAATTTCTTATGTCCAAACCAAAATAGAAAATTATTTTTTTCTTCACTACACAACTGTACAAAACTACACAACGGTATAAAAATACACATATTTTGTATTTGGCATAAACATGAAAACAATGTATGGAATAATACGATAAAAATAATGAGATGGAAATCATATTTCTTTGGTAAACCAATTACCTATTTGAAAAGCTGTCTAGCATAATACCAAATACGGAAGAAATACTCATCACGGCGCAGTAATGAACCTCTGGCATAAGAGTGAATGTCAGCATCCATGCCAGCTTCCCTCATCCATGATGTCGTTGTTTCTGTGCTGAAACTTAACGTAGGTGCAGTTGTTTCTAGTTTATCGACTTCCAACTGCTCAGCATCTGCAAATACAATAACATAAAATTGATCGGATTGGCGTATTAAGATCCAGGATGGAAATGGCACCATTCCAAAGCGACCGGTCTTCGCCCGAGTCTGATATGTATCAACGATAAAGGCGCTTGATGTGTAATATACAGTGCTATGAAATATACAGAAATAGCGACACTAAAATAACAATTTGTAATAATTAGTAGCTTCTCTACTTTTCAGGAAATATTACATCATTTGTTGAAAATGTTTACCAGCACTTTGAAGGAAAAGAGTCACGTATTTACATTTATTGCCGAAAAGTCTTGTAAATTTTCTTGGTATAAAGACATTACATACAACATATTCATTCTTTCAATTCTTCGACGTTATTTGAACGATACTTGAAGACATTTCCTTTTGCTGCACCCCAGAAAAATAAATCAGAAGGTGTAAGAACTGGAGTTCTTGGCAGCCACAGCCTTTTCGCAATTATCCGGTTCCAGTAAATCTTACAATAGATACACAGATTGTTTAGCTGTATATGCTTTGGTATATCTTACTGAGATATACACATTCATTACTTTATTATATGTCATGTGTTTAATGAAGTAATAAAGAATGTGGGAAAAGTATCTGTCTGCGTTTATCTTGCCGTGAAAGAAAATGGGACCTACAATACGTGCTCTAGATATGTCAATTGACACTCCTATTTTCTGGTCATGTAGCTTCATGAATGACGCGAGAATTCCATTACGATAAACGAGTGTTCTCAGAGCAAGGCACTTAGAATGAGTTCTGAGAGTTTATTTCTCGAAAAATAAAACCAGGCGTTATCTGGAAAAAAGAAGAAAAAAAAAAGAAAAGAAAAAAAAAGACAAGACTCGGCCAGGTCGTTGGTGACTCTTCTCACAAAGTTCTGATACCATTCATAATAATAAATTATCTGCTTGTTATTTATACGTAACGTACTATATATGCATATACTCGCAACGTATATATATCGTAGCCACCACATTTAATGAAACAGTTCAATTCTTTCGCACATCCAAGTGAGTTCCTAACGAGATGGTACTCTCTTGAGTTAATCTCAGTGGTGGTGTGATATAGACAGAGAGTTGAAGAAGTTTATCCTCTGATAAATTGAGAAAACACGGGTTGACCACTTTTCGGCTAGTGAACCTGTTAGATGAAATTTCTTAATTAAATCGTGTGCAGTGTCACAATGGGACCTTATACATTTTGGGAATTTTGCAAACGACTTTTGTTTCAAATCTTTCGTAAACTTACTAATTGCTCGAAACGCATGTTAAACTAAAAATATACGTTCTTCCAGTGCTTGCATACTACTGTTCCTTAATTTGACTATCATTACAAACTGCTAGTGCGTAGTGAAAGCGGACGTGACACTGTAGAACAAGATTTATTTTGAATTCAATAATGGCTTGCTTGTAGCGTGGTTGAATAGGTCTTTGTTGTGGTTACATCTGAGACAGGCGAAGATGCAATCGGTTTGCAATGTTACATTTCCGAAAAAAATGGAGAGGAAGGAGGAGCCGTTACTGAGCAGACATTTTGAACAATTTGTATAAATTAAAAAAAATTCAGCAAAAATGAAATTTTCTTTATCAGATACATCAAGTCAGCTAGTCACTAGACCTATATCCTATTTGCGCCACTGCAAAAATAGTGTTCTTTGGTGACGAACCAATTATCTCACAGCTCACTAATTTCCTTTTGTAAATTTAGGGAATTGCTTGATATAAATTCATACATTACTTGCATTCTCTACCAAGCATTCAAATTTCACTAACTATTAATTGGGATTGGTAACATTAAATGCGAAGTTTCAGTTTTTAATAGGTAACTTCTTATGAAGTAACTGTAGTACAATCTAGTACAATCTAATGAAAATTAATTTGTGATCGAAAAGCTATAATGTGCAAATGTGAACAGAGATACATTATTAAGACTAAGAAAATTACGTGTTATTCAAGATACTCATTTAGAAAGAGAGAACAATTGAATTATGAAATACATACCTGTTGGCCGTAACACCTTAAATGCTTCATCTGACTCCAAGGGCTCACTCAGACCAACTTCATTTCGCGCAAATATCCTTATCAAATATTCGTGATTTTCCTGAGAAAGGAAAGCAAAGAATTCACATTTTAGCAAGATGACCTGTTTTGATAAAATTCATTGAATTATCTTTGATACCATTTACTTATTAAAACTAATATATTTATTGGAAATTAGCAATATAAATTTCATTTTTTGATAATTCATTTCATTCCTTTGTCAGTAATGTCTCTTATCTCTTAATTGTATAGATACGGTTAAACAACAGAGAATATTTTACTGAGAATTTAATCTTGTGTATCGATTCTATTGGTTAATGTAGTCTGGAAATGTTTTATAAACGTATTACATGCAAAAATCTTGAAGTGAGTGGTCGATACTGACACCTGATGAAGTTGCTTTCGACGACGTGTGGTAATTATAAATATCTGTATTACATGAAAATATTTTTCCCGGTAAGGAAGTTAGTTTTCCTTTTGGTTTGTTTATTACATTCTTTAATTCATATATCACTTTAAAATTATTTTTGTATTGATGTGAAATAATGGGATGATATTGTTATAAACATAGCACGGTACATTTCTCGTAGGATATGGATTTTTGTATTGTTTTGTAATAAAAATGACTTTATCTTACGCAAATCAGGATAGGTGTATGTGCATCGTATTATTCAAATATATGGCAAATATATGTATTTCACGCAAAATAAAATTATTAGCAAAGGAAACTTACTTGGAGGTCCCTGATAGCAAGTTTCTGCACATCTGCTCTCACGCGACCTACTTCCATCCACATAGTCTTCTTGATATCCCGGATGGCAATTGTGTATCCTTCTATTGGAGCACCGCCATCTGTTTCGGGAATTCCCCATTCTATGATTATAGAATTAGGACTGATACTTCTTATTTCTAATGGAGCTGTTGGTGGCGATGGTGGAGCTGTAAAATAATAAATTAAGTGTACCTGTTTACAAAATATGATTCATTTTTTATGATTCAATATTACTTACAAGCATGAGTTTTCAGGCTAACAAGTTCTGTACTTGCTGGAGGACTCAAGCCAATAGAATTTTCTGCATACACTCTGAAGAACCATTCAGATTTCTCTTTCAAATTCTCAATACAGTGCTGGGTAATAGAAGGTTCCAGAGTAACCACTTTAATCCACTTCTTAGAAGATGCTAATCTCTTTTCCACTATATAACCTAAAAGCATAAATTACTAATTAGCTCCAAAAAACTTGAGAATTGTTAATTCACTTGTGGTACTGTACTTGCACCTTCACTATTTGCACAATGTTGCGACGACAGTTTGAGAGGAACCAAACAAGGCAAAGCATTGGTGCTAAAACATATTTCCCTTATACTTTTAATATAAAAAAGTATTACAGTGATACCTACTCTGACGCCATCTTAATTTAACAGCTATTTTTTTCTTGCAACCATTGATATTTTCATAGGGCAATGTAATAATTTCCTTTTGAGCGACTACCTGGCCCAACGGCCAGCGGCCAGGCACATTTCGAACATTTATCTCTATAAAGGGATTAGTACATCTAGCGTTTGTGAACTATAATAAAATAAGAAGCGGAAGAACGGTGATATTCTCTTCTTGTGACGGTACGCATTATCAGATTACTTAGAACAGTGACATTTAGAGTCACTCTTTTCGCAAGGTTTGAATTTCTGTTAAAGACACAAATAATTAATTTCAACATTTCAATAAAATGACCACAAGTTCACATCTTCCCCTCTGTGGGACTTTGTTATTGGCCGAAGGCGTACACCGCATGCGCGAAGCAAATGTGATGGGCATTCGCGAACTATTTTGTAGGACAGCCCTGTTCACAAAATGTGATTTTAAGTCTAGATTGACTGTGAGTTAAGTTTGGTGGGGCGAAAATATTTTACACGAGGTCAAGGTTGTGCGACTCTAGGCGAGAGAAGGCATGTTATTCTAGAAAACGAGAAGCGTTTCGGCTAGAAAATATGCTGATATATTTATGTGCGGTAGGATACAAATTTAATGAAATTACAGTATAAGAAAAAAGGGGCTCATTTTTGTGAATTTCTGAAACTTCTGCAGCTAAAAATGCAGGCAGACTGCAGGGGATTTTTTTTAACAAAGTGAGTAAAATTCATGTTAGAACAGATTAGTATAATTTGTTTGTTTCTTTTTGGCATGCCGGAAGGGCGAAAACCGTTATGGAATTATTTGTTGCTAATATTATTAGAACGTTGTTGTGTTTTTTACCGTGTGAATGGAGTCACCTGTACAAACATTGAATTATACTATTTTTTTCTGCCACATCACAGTTATTGTGAATAATTACAATAATTGCTATCGTAAGAACGCGCATTGGTATTCTCATGACAGCAGAAGTTAAAAAAGGTATGAATTAATAATGATAATAATAATAATAATAATAATAATAATAATAATAACAATAACAATAACAATAACAATAACAATAACAATAACAATAACAATAACAATAACAATAACAATAATAATAATAATAATAATAATAATAATAATAATAATAATAATAATAATAATAATAATAAAAATAAATAAGCGAGAGAAATTTACGAAGTCATTACAAAAAAAGGTGCTCGGGCCTGATCGTATTCAAAACTTCAGAAGCGATCTCTTAGTTTAGTATATCAGAGTATACAAGTTAATGCAAAAAGTGATTGTACTCATTGGAAAATGACGGGGTGGGAGGGAAACATATACATATGAAAATGAAAACTACAAAAAGTCCACTTTGTATTTTCTCTTTTTTCAAAAGTTCGTAATATTATAAAGCCCCTGATATTTAAAAAAACAGAAAATGCCCTTTTTTGTAGGCACAAAAATTCATCGTATACACGCTATACATTTACACCAGGCATTATGATGTCAATTTATTCAAAATACTAATTGTTATTATCACATTGACTCCAATTCTGGGGGTAAATCACTAAAATCAATTTTGCTTAAATTTAATTAATCCTTAATAGACCATGTAGGAGAGAATAGTTTTCAAAATTTTGATTTGTATATTACCTGGAATGATGATGGAATGTTCGGCTAAGCAAGAAAGGAGGTAAACACTTACGCCTAAAGCGAGGTCTAAATGGACACAGCGGGTGTACTTAAAACAGACAATATGGTAAAAAGCGCTAAATCGTTCGGTAAAATTAAACTGTTGGCCTCTAAAATATTTTTTTCGTGAAAAAATCATTTCTACATCATGTCAAGTAATGCAATGGGCATATTTAAGAAACCACCCCTCGAGAACTAGGATCAGGTGCAAATACGTTGGTCAATGATTGAACAACTGGAATGTGGATGAGAGAAAGATAATAGTCAAAGGTAAGCGGTATTTCAAATACAGTATTAAACGGAAATACGATTTATAAGATTGAAATTCAAAATATATTTCTTTAATTTATTCTTTTCGAATGAGCCACTGTGGACTGTTTATTTAATTAATATTAAATGAAATACGTTTTTTACTCAAAATTTCATTTCTTGTATTTAAATTATGTTATTTTTGAATTTGGCTTGGGAGTTCTTTGGTGGATACTGTGCAATCAAATGAGCGCGACCCCTGTGTATTCTCACCATGAGCAGATGCACATACCTGTCAATTCGGTTCCACCCGTACTGACAGGTGGGCTCCATTGGAGTGTTACACTCTTACTTGTTATATCTATCACAGAGAAATTGGCTGGAGCTGAAGGTGCACCTAGAATTACCAGACAAAATTGATCATTATTACGCTGAATTCTAGAGTATATCATGCAAAACATTCAGATTTTCACCAGCAAAACTCTCTAATAATGACTAGACTAACTGCTGTTTTGACATGCCCTGCGAAACAACATATGAATACTAAACACAAGACTACTTTAATGGAAGGAAAACAAATAAATGATATTAACAGGATACATAAAGAAGACACAATAATACATTTTGTGATGGTACATAAATAAAATAGAAGTTTTATTACATAAGGAATATAGGATTGCTACTTTTCATCTCGTAAATATTGTTTACATGATATCTCTCCTCGAAATGCTTTTTGGATCCGCCCCTAGGCAGAGTATACAAAAAACAAAAACAAAAACCCTCACATTACACAATGCTTCAGGAACACGATGTATTGAGACGTTTCTAAAACATACAAGATTTGAATAAAGTAGAGTGAGAACACGCATTCTGGCCCCGGCCAGAAGTGCGAAGAGGTAGGCGGAGAGTGCTTCTAACATGTCCCGTGAGGGGAGTTGAGTTGAGGCGCTCGGCGCGAGGCAAGACGTCGCACAGTGTCAGCGCCATCTTGGCTAGCCTTTCCTGGGATTCCTCTCACGGGAGGCCAAACGACTCATGGGCGAACTTGTCCAACTACCAACACATTGACCGATAAGCGCTCAGGGTGGTGGAGACGTCGGTGCGAAGGGTGGGGAGACAGGTAAGTACTGCGGTGGCTGCGCCTGGATTTCTGTATCAACTTGGGGGGGGGGGGTCTTAATTGACACCTAATGGTGAATACACGAAGAACAGAAATGCATTCAAACACATATCTTTAAAAGATAGAACACTTTTATACATTGAACATATTTTATACAATTGTCATATATATATGAAAATATATCTAGTTAGGTATCGTACTACCGTATCTATACAGTTACCTAGTATCATCTAAAACAGGAGAAATAAGGATTAAGAAATATTTACATTTGGAAATAAAGGTAAAATGTTATTACAAGTCACAAACTTCCACTAATACTTGGCAATGCAATGCTTTATATCAAGAAATTTCATTAAAAGACACAACGGACATTGCTTATAAATACTCACGAGAACCTGACAGAGTGGTAGGAGTGTAAGTGCCTAGTAAAGCAAATAAAGCTCTCTCAGCTATCTTGCTGTGAATCCCTGATGGAAATTTAAAAAGCACAGATAAAATACAAAATTAGTTGCAAAAGAAATGATGCATGCTATTTTATTCTTGTGTTTGATAGATATTACAACAGAGCCTAATCTTTTTAAAGTATTTGGTTCATTGAATTAAAACAACAATTTTAATTAATTTTTAAATACTGCAATACATAGTTTTTGCAAAAATCATTTAATACAACAAGATATAGAATACAATATTTTAAATGAGTCGACCATGGAATTTCTAAATTATGTACACGAAGTAACAATTGGCCATATTTTGCGAAGCACTCGTAAATTTTATAACTTGACGTATTCATAACCACACATATTGTTTTTCAAGCAAGTAAATAATAAGTTTCTTTTTACTTCCTCGCCTGCTACGTATTACGTAATTACATAGCAAACAAAAAGCATTGTGCAATTGAAGCTCGCCTTATTGGTAACATCACATACTTTCTGGCATTATTGCAATATGAACTTGCAAAAAAGAATTCGGACTTGAGCTCTTAGAGGTGGCACTCAATCATGTTACCCCTACACCCTCAGCTTCATAGTTTAATTCTCCCGTCCCGATGTTTGAAAAGAATGTTGAGCATTTCCATTTTCAATTTTTTAAAATTCAGAGATATTTATTCATGTTATTACAAGATCTAGTTTTCCTGAACAGATTTCATTAACGAAAAAATCTCTATATTGTGGTAGTGCAATGCTAATTTTTGTTTGCAATTTTTGAAAATACAGAAAGTTCGCCAAGCGTGTGCTATTTTTATAGAGCTCTTTCCTCTATCCGAGGAAAAAAATAAAGAATAATTGGAGCCGTTTTTGAGAAAAAACATTGAAAAGTATTGTGTAGAAAGAATCCCCGTTTTTGTGGCCCCTTGATTCCGAAAAATCGATTGATTGAAAACGTCCGCCCGTCCGTCCGTAGTCAACGCTACCGCCTAAACAATAGAAACGACTATCTCCAAAATTGGTATTTCCTGATAGATCTGAATGAACTCGCTGCGTGTTTCAAATGGATATTTTGGTACTTTGCACTAAGTCTGAAGAACAGTTTGTAAATTTTCTCAAAAATGGCTCCAAATATTTTTATTAAACTTTGTCCTTGGATAGCGTGAAAGAGGTTTGAACAAACGGCGCAAGTCTAATTTTCACTGAAATCTCAGTCTTTTCAAACATTTTAAAAGTTTAAAATTGTTTCGGCGAACTCCTCCAAATAAAATATTTAAAATAGAGAATTTTCCTTAATGAAGTATATTGCTCAAGGATAGATCTTAAAATAAGGTCATCTACAGCTTTTCGAAAATATGAGTAGTCTTCACATACGTTTGCATGATATATAGAGATTTTTTAAACAATCAGTTTCTCGAAAACAGCTCTAAATTTTTTTCTTTAACATTTCCCTTCTATGTAGAAATGGACGGTAAACGCAGTTAACATTGCGAAAGTACAATATTGTTGGTGCAGGTTTTTTAAACAAAATGTTATATCAAATAGATCTTTGAATAAAGCTATGAACATAACTAGTGGTTGAACAGAATGACACAGACTTTCCCGTATTAGTTATCTATTTTCTTTGGTCTCGGCTAGCTACACGAACTGTTGCCCTACATAGCCGCAAAAAGTATATTTTTAAAAATTTTCTTCATTTTTCGCTTTTCTAATAGTAGAACAGAAATATTATTTTAAGAATATTAAAGAACAGAAAAACCTTGACCTAAATGGCATTTTACCTTGAAAAATTTGGAGCCGTTTTTAAGAAAATAGCGTTTAAGCGCTACTATAAATTCGAAATTTGAAGCTCTTTTTCACAGAAAAATTTTGAGTTTTTTAAAAGCTTTATTTAAAGTAATTTGAATCACTTTAACTTAAAAATACAATAGTGTTTACAAATAGCTGGAAATGTGTATATAAACGGAATGAGAGATCTTTCAAAAACTTAGATTTGTGTAAATTTCGAAAAAACAAACAAATTCCCCGAAATGAACTTAACCTCTAACTAAAGAGAGCAATTAGCACTATCGATTAGCAAAGTTTGAAGAAAAAATTTGGAGCCGTTTCTGCGTAAATGGTGTTTGAGTATTTCTGAAAATTGGAAACTTTGAGCTAGTTTTCACAGAAAACAGTTGAGTTTTCGATAAACGTGACATTATTTAAAGCACAGTTACTCACAAATACAATAATGTGAACAATTTGCCGCGAATATAATATTAACAACGTAGGAGACAAGTCAAAAGCTTACATTTTTAATTTTAAAAAAAGCAAAAGAATAGAGCAATATGGCGTCCATGTCATCTTATAGAGTACATTCACCACTCTCCCTCCCAAGAGTTTAAAGAAAATATTTGGATCTGTTTTTGAGAAATTCTTGTTTTTGTAATTTTCTAAAATATTGCTCGCAGTATTGCGTGAAACTACTAACATTTTTTAATAATATACATGATCTTAATGAAAGGAGTCACTATGGAGAACAAATTTCATTTGAAGGAAAATTCTCTATGTTTAATTTTGTAGTCGTAGGAAGACGCGCGAACAATTTTGAAATTTTCGAAAATTTAGAGTTAGCCCCGAAATCGGACCTATGCCACCTTTATAAGTGTATTTTACTCTATTCTTACAAGAAATTTAAAGAAAAAATCCGGAGCCTTTTTGAGAAATTTTTGAAAATGTCTGGAGGGCTTTATGTAAAGTACCCCAAATTTTAAGAACTTTTTTCAAAATCTCAACGCCAAATAGACGGGGGTAAAATCAGGGTAAAATCAATTTGTAAAAAATTTGTAAAAAATCGTAAATGTGGCTTAGACGCTAGAAATGTTCACAGATGGACAGACGGACGTTTTGATAAGAAGTACGTTTTCGGCATTAGGGGACCCAAAACGTGTATTTTCGTTGAAATCTCGAAATTGATTATCCGAAGCGTATATACATATGTATAGGGAAAGTAAAAAAACAACAGTAGTTTTCTTGTATTGTCTGGTTGATGTTAATGCAATACTTAAAAACAAATCTTAAAAGTGCTCCGTATTTGTTCTTTCAATTGTTCCTCATACACAGTAAAGGATGAAAGATTTTTTCACGAATTAAATCTGTTCTTTAAAACTAGATCTTGAAATAATGTGAATAAAGATATTTGAATTTAAAAAAATGCAAATGCAATGCTCAACTTCTTTTTAAAGCGTCGAAAAGATTGACTTTAGCTGTGGACCTGGAGATGAAGGTGTAACGTGCATCACGTGCTAATACGAATAACTCTTGTGCTCAAATCCCCGCTCGGAGAAATAAATTTTGCTTGCTAGAAACACTTTTTCAGGTTCAGGTGTTTTCATATTTCTTAGCCGTTACAAATTTGATTTGTTTTTGTAACACCACTGGTTACTCTTGCGGCATCGCATACTTCGGCATACCTTGATCAACCTCTTTGAATTGATGCTTTGCGGAGTGATCGCGTTTCTATGGACTAAAGATAATCATACACCGTTAGACAAGTGATCATAACGTAATGGCTCATTCGTGTATTCGGAAATAAAAGAAATAGTGAGTAATATGTGCGACATTAAGAGTACTCAAGGAAAATCATTAAGATTGAATAGAAAATAGTGTTCAATGTGACAGTAATATCAACAACAACAACAACAATAATAATAATAATAATAATAATAATAATAATAATAATAATAATAATAATGATAATGAAAATAATATACGATGATGATCAGGCTGCTGTTGAAGATTATCCTGTACGTACTGCAGATACAAAAAGAAGCACTAAAGTAATACAAAAATATTATTTAAGGAAATGAAGGAAATATCAGCACGAAAACAAAATTCAAAGCACAAAAAAGTGATTTAATGGCACAGCGACAATCGCGTCAATGCAAGCGCGAACACCGTCAAGGATCGGGCTTCTAAACTGGGCTACTTTTAATGTGTAGCCAAACGAGAACGAATTTTAATAGAGTACGTAATTCAACTCCACGTAAAGTTATCTAATCCAGTAAAAAAATATTTTTTGTTGCAATTTTTAACAACATACTGGAGCTGCTCATACTGCTACATACAGCATGATACATTCAGTAACCTATACATTTGATGCAATCGAAGAATCGTGTAAGCGTCTCAGCATTTCTGATGCTACTCCTCAGCGTAATATTATCTAGCTTTATAAAACGGTCAAAGTTTTGTCCAGTCAAATTTAGTGTATTGGGAAAGAAACTGAACATTCTGTATGCTTTTGGGAGTGCTAAATCGGAATTTTGATCTGCAATTTTGCAAATGTGCGTTGTTTAGAGAAAACATTCGCATCATACACTTTATACGCATTATTTATATATTACGCAAAATATTCGCTTAATACAGTTTTTTCTTATATTTTGAGAACTACACACTTTTAGAAAAATATATTCTTGTAGAACAACACATTACATTCAATTTTCTATGAGTTACTTCTGCTACGTATTTTTCTTCAGCCAAACAGTTTAGGCACTAGAGCACGTTAATTTTTTTAAATTTTACGATCCGCCAAAGACGTGAGTTTTGTAATATTCTCGTTAGTAAATAAACAAATACCTACATTTTAAAAAAGTCACCATCTACAAAAATAAAATACATTTCCTACAAAAATATGTCTGTTACGATTTCTTGTCAGGCGTAAGGTCGCTAGAGTGCGTTGAACTTAAGTTTGCATCGGACATAGCGGCAAAGTAAAGACATATTCTCATTTCTCATGGTAACATTTATTTTCAGAACGTTTCTTTAAAACCGTTCATTTTATTAAAATATAATTATATTAATTTCAAATTTTATGTAATTTTAATTAATAAATATTTAATGGTTATTATGTGATGTTTTAATCGCTGCTGTAAGTGCAGCGATAAAAAACACTCTTTGGTAGAAAATATAATATTTATTTAAGAAAGTTCTTAAAGTGGGGATGAGGGTTCTTCATGTGATACGGTCACTTAGATAAAATGTCGGGCTGTTTGCGATTGTTTCCCGGTCAAAATTTATCATGGTTAAAATACATAACTTAAAAAAATTAACTAGTGATGCTAAACCAGAATATACTTTCTCGCATTATTTGTACGGGCTCCGCAATATTATACTACTGCATTAATCTACAAAACTATTTCCAATCAGCAATTTTTTTCTCCGCGCTGAGACTCCAACTCAGGGCCATCGAGTTAACTTGTCATGCACTATATCGCAATACCACATAGTCCCGCGTCCATATTCTCTTTTGCCGATGCTTAAAAAACTCTCATAGTCTTTCCCATTATTTCCAACACACCTTTCAAAAATTCAGAGAGTTCAACGAAAATCAGACTTACGCCATTTTTAAGTGTCCTTTGCTAAATCCGTGGAAAAAATAAACAAAAATATTTGGAGCCGTATTTGAAAAAAATGTCTCGTTTATAAATTGCATAACGTCAAGCAAAAATTACACAAAACAATTCGTTTTTTTCAAAAAAATAGAACATGTCCTTCTTTAAAGAACTGTTTTTTAGAAAAGATTTCATTTACGAAAAAATCTGTCTTCAGTACTTCATACTTTTCATACTTCAGTACTTCATACTTTTGCAATGTTACTTTTTGCAATTTTGAAATATTCAGAGAATTTGCCAAAAATGGGACCAGCAACATTTTATACAGTCCTTTTATACATACAAGTAAAAAATTAAAAGAAAAAATAACCCAGATATAAAAAAGAAGTCGAATTGTGTAAATGAGATGCTTTTTCATTTCTGTGTTAATTTTTATTTCTGAACAAATATATTAATTTCTTTTGAAAATAATGAACAATTTACATGTTTCTGGAGTGTTTCTATGCTTCTGCAATGCAAGTTTTTGCCTAGGAAACATTTTTTCAAATAAACTTTTCAACTGCTTATTGGAGCTTAACCATTCGGAATATCCCAGTAGTTTATTAGACAAAATATACTTCAAATGGTCTTATCAGCGAAGCTGTACAGTAGTTACATATATATATATATAATATATTACTATAATATATATATATATATATATATATATATATTATATAATACATATACAATATACCAAAGCGAATCACTTAGGAAACGCATAAATCGCCCGATAAAACGGGGAGATTGCAAGTTTTCGCTAGCGCTTCGAGTTCGATTTCGAGTTGGAGCATGCGCAGAGGCTCAAAGATGCAGTCGATTGCTGTGTGCTATGCCGATCTTAAACTCCCGTATGTTACGAATGATAGTATTGACATTGACTAAGGCTGCAACAATGCAAAATATTTCAATAACCACAAGCATAGACACTCCAAACTGTCACAATACGTTCTTAAGTATAATGCTTTTCTTTCGCCTTTCAGATCAGCGGCTTGGACCTTGTGTATCCCTTGGGAACCTTTGCGAACCATGTGAGGAAGATGAGATGCGTGGACCGTCTGGTGCCACAAGTTTTCGGTAACTCTAATTAATTGGTATCCATTAAAAAATATTAAATTTTCAAATATTTATATCGATCTTCAAAAAATATTAATTTAATTAAATTTATTTGCATTATTTAAATTACATTAATTAAGTAATTAATAATATATTCATGATATGGCTTGTTTTAAAGAAACAAAACGTGAAAATAGATGCCACCAAGCAGACGGAGCCGGTCTTGCCTTGTCCTCTGTATGCGATTCTGACTTCAATGCACACTAGCGCTTAAAGCGCTTGCCTGACCAAAAAAGCCAAACTAACATATTTTGTTGGAAATTTAATGTAATTATTTTGTACAAGACTATATTTTATGATGTTTGTAGTTTTCAAGTTATAAGCAAAAACGATTTTTTTTACAAAAGTGCGTTTTTAAAGTTTTTTGTCGTTTTTTCAGAATGCGTGGATTACGCTCTTACGTGGTAATTGGCCTCAAATTCGGAACCAACACCCTCACAATACACAGGAAGGTATAGAAAAAACGAATATTTTCCCTTGGATGAGTCACGTTCTTCCAAGTGACGTTATAGGTTGTTCCTAAGATTACATTTGTACGGTGGAGTAACCTAGATTAACTCGTTTTAATGAAAGCTACTTCCGAATATTAGCTTCATAACTTAACAATATTCTTTGTATACTTTCTTCGTATATCCAGAACATAAATTGATATTAATACAGCTAAATATTATTGTGAGAGCCATAAAAAAATTAACTTACTTATTCGTTTGCCAGCGGTAACTGGTTCTTCGGGTGAAAATGGTGCACTAAGTCCAATATCATTTCTTGCAGTAATTCGGAAGTGGTATGAAGTATTAAGCTTTAATTCTGTAACTTCAATATGCGTAACTTCTCCTGATGTACTTCCAACCTAAATAAAACAACATAATGATATTTAATGAAGTGAATGTGAAGACAAAACCCGATAAAGGTATTGTGATAAATCCCAAATTACTTTGAGACACACTTTTTCTACTATGTAATCAATGAATGCTCTTTGTCACAGAATCTGGGATCAGAGGCGTGACATTTTTTGGCAATCATATAGAGTATTATAGTATATAGTATATCATTATATAGTATGTATAGTATATAGTATATCAAATCCATCTCCTTATAGTAATATGTTGAAAGATGATATGTTGTGTAAGCATCACATTACATGAATAACATTTTCACAAACTTTCCTATACATAAGCGTATCTTGCCAGTCCAGTGGTCGAGATCGCTAAGGCAGTAGTGTCGTAGCGATCTCGGACCGAATGATCCGGCGGGTTTGAGTCCCGCCTCGGGCCTGGTTGTATTGCGCTCGTCCTTTCACCCCCTTTCATCATCATATCGTGTCATCCTCACAGTTACCATACCGTTACAAGCAATAGTGGTCGCTAATGACCTAGAAGTTGATGCGACCTTAAATAACCAAAAAAGGGTATTTTCCACAATTTATGATATTTTTAGAAAGATTTTTAAATGAATAGGACAATATAAAGTTACATCAAATCTCCATTTGTATTGAAATATTCAGCTTATACCAAGTATAGAAAAAATGATTTATTATTTAAATAAATCGAAAAATCGCGAACTGTTCAAATAAATGACGCAGTAGTTCATCCTTTTCAGCGACATGCTACCAGTAAGTAAAAATTAAGGAAGGTCGTTTTGCCTCGGATAATTATTCTGCCCACATCTTCCCTACACTAAATAATCATTGTTTTTTGTAATTCTCACAAGTTTGAGATATAACTGAATAATTGGAAGGTTCTATGTACACTATTAGTTCGGACAAAACATAACCAGATTTAGGAACTGCTGGATCTCAAGCGTAAATTCGTGCCAGGTCTCCTTCTCAAATAATCTTTCAGATTTATTAAAAACACTAATTAATATGAAATAACTTTCGTACAAATACAAAACGAAAATTGAACAGACTAGTTATAAGACAAGTTTAACAGAAATCAAATAATAAATATATAACTTTTAAGTACAATCTTTTTAGTAAATGGACTTTTTGATTAACAAAACATATACAAAAACATATTTGACATTCAAAATATATTTGACAATTTTTGAATATTTCGTGCATTTTTTCCGAGGTGCGGGCCCCTTATGGTCGGGGTCCCTAAGCAAATGCTTAATTTGCTTGTGAGCAAATTAGGTCATGGGCCATAAAATATCCCCAGCTAGGAATTTGAATTAGAATGGATTTGATTTCCACATTTGGACTGCAAGCCTTTTGAAAACAGAAATCTTAAATATAATTTTTTATAGAAAAAATAGTTACCATTATGATAACTCAATTTATTGTACACGTGTTCTCGTAATAACTGTTACACACTTGTAGGCCATGTAGAGGGGTCGAAGATAATAGTTTCTTTTTTTTTTTTTTGCCAACGAAGAAGTGGTGGGATATTTCGTGCAACGAAATTACCCCTGATTCCCTGAACATTTTCCCCTGATTCGTAGACACCTCATCTTGCATTGGTGTTTGGCGGGTCGCAGTCAAAGCAATTTTTTGAGCCCGCCGAACAACAATGCATGATGCATTGCCTGCCAATCAGGAGCAATTGTCATATGTGACTTATTCATTAGCAAAAAATATACTTTTTCATCTCTCTACATGCCCTAGACGTTTGTAAGATTTATTCTAAAACACCTGTAAAAGTGCATAAAAGAAAAGTGACAACTAGTATTTTATTAGCCCAATCTATTTAATTTTTGTCGAGTGTTTGGAAATATCAATAAAGACCTATCAATGACAATTTTGGCAGAATAGACAAGATTTAAGGGCTTATTGCTCAAATACACAAATCCTAGAAAGTTGACTGAGTTGTTTCAAAACCTTTTTTTATCTGAAGTATGTATATGAAAATTCATATACGATAATCAAGGTGATATATAGCGTATTTCACATAATAAAATAACATACTTCTATACGCTTCTCTTACAAGGAGAGTTATTTATCGATATTCGGTCTTTAGATCATGGTGAATTTCAAAGACATATCTCTGAACCTCTCGGTATGGGAAACATTTGGGAGTTAATACCAAAAAGAGAAATTGTAAGAACGATGTGAATTAAAAAGAAAACAGTAATATTTAGTTTTAAGGGACAAAAATGGGAATGTTAAATTTAAGAAAAGGGTGAACACAAAAATAAATTTACAACAAGACTTCATTATGGAGCTTGGAAGAATTGAGTTGTGTATATGCTCATAAGAATATAGTGAGAGTTTTCCAAAATTAATATTTTCAATATTTCTAAGGAGCGTTTTAAACCTGGGAATTTTATTTTCAAAGATAAATCATTGCCTCCTAGAAACGTTATTCTACAGATTTTGTGGTTTTGACAATTCGGCCTCCAAAATTCAACTGGTATGAAACAGACGAAGAATGTATCGGCAAATATGGCTTCAAAACTGCTTCATTATTATTGTATTATCTGAAAATGACTAAAGAAATAATGTACTCTTGCGGTATTTATTGACAAAACACGGTAAAACCGCCATGTAACTGATGAGGGAAATAAATAATCTACGGACGTATTCTTCAGCTTCAGAAACTTTAACCACTTGTTTTCTATACATCGTTGAATTGTAGATAAAGGTACCAACAAGCATGGTTGGAAACACTTGGAAACTTGATTTTGCTTCCGAGTAACAGAATCGTGAAATTGAGAGGGACACTTGCAAGAAATACCTTGAGTCAGTGGTAAAAAGACTTCACACTCTCAAAAAGGGGAGATACTCTCACTCACTCGATTTGGGAACAAAATGTATTACGAGTATAATGTGTCTGAATTTCTTCGGATACGTTTATGGCACATTTTGAAGATCCACCTGGATCGCAGAAGTTATGTACGCGGGATTATTGAGCGATCAGGAAAATCGCTCTACATTGGATGGCAAGGCGCTGCTTAGCGTGTACTCTTTGAGGCGATCACTCAGAGTTGTACTTTTCTTACGCAATCTGTGAAGGTTGTCTTCTATAAATACAAAATACTATCATACCAGAAAATAATACAGACTTAAAAGAACATAACACAGAAATTCTTCAATTGCAATGTATGCCGAAGAAAAAGAATCTTCAATTATGGGACAATTAAAATCGATTCTAATCACTTGAATCAATGATTTAAATAATTTCAAAATGTTACTCCGTTTCCATGCACAATTAAGAAGTTAATATTATTTAGGAAATAGAAAATTAAAATAAAAATTAGCCTAATCAATAGGTTTATCATTCTTTCCATCTGAATGGTGCGTTGCATATGTAAATGAAAAATCCCTACCTTTTTCCATGCCTTCTTTCCAACTTCTTTTCTTTCAACTATATACTCCAGTATCGGCGCTCCGCCGTCAGACTCAGGAGGTTGCCATGCGACAATAAAAGCTGTTTCTGTCATTCCTGAAATGTCTAAAGGACCTCGCGGAGGCGAAGGTTTGTCTGCAAAAGAGTAAGATAAAGAAATATTTTAAATAGATTATCAAACATCATATTACTAATAATTTTGTTGTACATATTAATGAAATATCTTTTTATAATAGTGTTTTCTGATAATCTAAGAAAATAAAAAGGTAATTATTCACGTGTAAAAGCCTTGACTTTACAGGGAACTGCCTCAAATCACTCCCATAAAACTAGCCATTCATTGAAGAAGTAGTGGTCCGAGACTTTTAGATTAGCCTTATTATTTTCTGTAGGAGTTGAAGCCAAAGTCGTGACAGCTAAATCAGAACTCGGCCAAAAACCGTTTGGATCTAAATACATGGAATTCGTCCCGAAGAGATGGAACGGAGGCTGGTACAATGATGTCCTCTTCTGAGGGAAGTCGGCTTACAACTATCATCGTATCTGGTTCTCGAGATTCAAAATATTGTCTCTGATTAGCTGTTAGCGTTCGAGAAATTTGATTTTGATTTGATCTATTTTTGTTAAAGAACCGTAAAAACTGTATGTGATTATGGGAGAGAAGTATAATCTACGCCCTTTGTCTTGAGCTCCAAATTCTCTTCCTCATCCTTATTCTATACACAGTTGAATGATAAATTAAAGTACCCTCAAAGCGAGTTTAGCAACATTTGAAAAACGTTTTGTATGTAGGACTGAGTGGAGAATCTTTCTAGTCACAAAAAGTTTTCCAAACTACATGGGCAGTGCACAGATATATGAAAATTGTGAACTGATGTTGTCTGCCTCGCGACCCCGTGGCTCGCCATGTAAACTCATGTCAACTCGCCATGAGTAACTAAGATCGTGGAAGGAAACAGTCAGCGCAGATTCAACGGAGCATTATGACACTGCGAAGCCCGAAGCAAGGTATACTGTGCCAAACCGTCCCTCTAAACCGGCTCTCAGTGTTCAGTGTTTGCGAATTCTCGTACATGTTATTCGATAATACCCCTTATAGGCATCCTAAAAGCACTCGTGTCCATACATTCAACTAAGAATCAGAAATCTTTCCAAAATAGCAATGATTTAGTAACGCCGAAACACGGTATTGAAAATCTACAATAAGAAACTGCTGTGAAGTATTTGTTGGAGGAGTGTGAGAAAATTCAAAAGTTAGATTTCAGTTAATTTGATTTAGTTAGATTAGCCTCAAAATTATCATTGTAGCTCATTAAACGTGACTAAATAGAATATGTTTGGGAGATTTTATAACAATCAAAGACAACCATAATTATCCACAACTATACACCCATTCTTTGTGATTAGTAACTTACCAAATTTACTTCTAATAGTAACAGCATCACTTTCAAGAGCTTCAGAAGATCCAACAGGATTCTCTGCAATTACCCGGAACATGTATTCTGCATCTTCTTTAAGCTGCTGTACACAATATGATGATACATCTTTCTCCACGTCAGCCACCTGTGTAAGAATTTACAAATCATTAAAATTATTATTATTATTATTATTATTATTATTATTATTATTATTATTATTATTATTAATAATAATAATATTAATAATAATAATTGAGGTGATCGGAGGTTTTAGTAGAATAGCACCACGGGATTTGTCCCTGTCGTAAGAGGCGACTAACCGCAGCAGCTGTCCGTTGTCCCTACCTCTGAAAATTATCCGTCTCTCGTTATTCCTCCTGCCCCTGTCCTAAATTGTCTTCTCAAGTCATTTACCTTCTTCAGATGAAATACGAACTTCTCAAGATAATCTCCCCACTCCTCCTTCTTCCGCATGTCTTCTTAAGTCCAACCCTACGTGTTAGCGAGAACAACTTTGCCATGTGGAAGATGAGCAATTGTCACCGATTGCATGTGACAATTGGCAATGGTGCTCGGTGCAATGTTAATCACCCATACCGAAATGGAGAGACGTCTAGGAAGTCGTAAGGCCTCGGAAAAAGAGCCGCTGCCCGGAGAGTGCCGTCGGGGCGAGTCTGGAGTTTGCGCTGGACATTACGGTGAGCGATCCACCAATGGCCGCGTGCGGTCTCAGCAAGCACCGGTCTTCCAAAAAGCAATTGCTGATAATAAACTAAGCCAATCTACATGAAGAACTTCACCTAACCTGAGTGCCACGCAGGTCTTTCAGACAGCGCTCACTCAAGCAGGACTGCCACGACAGCAGCGCAAGAAATGGACTAGTGAGAGCAATGAAAGCATTGTGCACATCTACTACCGAGTCACAAATTTGGATACCAATATGACCGGTTACAGGTAGAGATTATTTTCTGAATTTATTTCGATTTTCCCCCAATTTTCCTGTTAACGAACAAAGATTAGCTTATCCATACAGAGCTATTCTTCGCTGCAACTTAATTTTCAAAACACGCCTTGAGACTGTTAAAGAAGTATGGAAGGAATTACAAATTAACCAAAACTACATGTTACTCATTAGGGACGAGGACGAGAGAACATCACATACAGAAGAAAGTTCCACTTCTTCCCCAGAATCTGCGAACCCCAACAGTATAATGACGAGGGATTAACTGAAGTTTTGAAGAGAGAAATGGATCGAGCAATTATTCAGTTTCAAGGTACCAATCCGTTAATGCGACCAATCTTAAGGAAACCAAACTCTTCGAAGAAGTGAGCACGAATTATCAAAATAATGAACTGTGAGATTTATCCTGAAAGTGCCCGTACGTTACAAGATCTAGGAACGTTACATATTGTTACATACTCTGCTACAATTACAGCCTAATCGTGTGTCTTCCAACACTACATAAGATCATCATCTCATGCCTTTCGCGAATGATAAATACCCATTGTGAACAAAGCGTGAATAAAAAATGTTAGCGAAAGAGCAAAAGGAATGCAGAACGGGTTCAAAAGGTTGAAAAGAACAACTACTAATAGACTCGATTGTGTGTAACCTGGCGTCAAAGAAGAATAAAAATCTGTATATGACATATGTGTATTTTAAAATTGCCTTCAATTCTATTTCCTATGATTGGTTATTAGCAGTACTTCGGCTTTACAAAGCCAATTCGTCTGTGATCACGTTCCGGCAACATGTGATAACTATTTGGCGAACGAAGATTTTCTTGAAATCACCAATTCAAACCTCCGAGATTTAAGTCATACCTACAAAAACGCTGGATATTTGAAGGTGGTTCACTAAATCCACTATGGTTTATTTTGTGCACGAACCCCTTGTCCAAAATGTTAAACGTCACAGAGCACGGGTTTACGATCAAATTAAATGAAAACATGTAAACGATGTAAATCTGTATGCGTGAACTAAGATGCAGCTCGCATATCTCCTGAAAACTGGAAAGATTTTAGAACGACATGAGGATGCAATTCGGACTGGACAAATTTCGATCAGTGAGTTTAATCAAAGGAAAGCAACAAAATACTTCAATTGACCTTGAGAACTGTGGAAGGATATGCGGGTTGGAAGCTGAAGAAACTATATCTCGGAATGGAACAAGCTAAGCGGATTAATCACACTAGAATAAAGAATGAACTAACCATCGAATTTGGCCACAGAGTAAGAAGAATTTTAAAAAAACTGAACTTAATGGAGGGAACATTTCCAAAGCTATTAACACTTGCTGTGCCCAACTTAAGCTGCTCAATGGTCATCGAGTATCACAGACATAGATTATAATCAACAAAGGTTAAGGGTTCTTCTATCAAAATCCTTAAACATCACCCAAGAGCCTCAGTTGAACGTGTGACGCAACGCCTTGGCGGTAGAGGCTTCACTGACATGATCACGACACCATGATTTGCATGTAGGTCGAGAGCCTCAGAAAATTCTTCCATGCAAAATCTACCGTTTCCAATTTATATTAATCTGTACAATTTATGTAGTCACCATAGACATATGAGGTGTAATTAAATAATAATAATAATAATAATAATAATAATAATAATAATAATAATAATAATAATAATAACAACAACAACAATAAAAACAACAGTAACACTTAAAAAATGAAAATAATAATTATAAAATACTAAAAATATTTTCATTACTTACTTTCATCCAAACCATCTTTTCTATATCACATTTTTCAACTGAATATTTGGAAAGTTCTAAACCTCCATCATCAGCTGGTGGTTTCCACTCAATCACAACTGATTCTCTTCGAATATCCTTCACTACCATTGGTCCCTCTGGTTTGCTAGGTTTGTCTATAGGATTACAAAAGGAAGTATTAAATTACATGTTACAGAAGATTATAGGAAGCTGTAATTAAACAGATTTTCCTTGATGCTATAAAATTAATATAAACTGCACAAAATATTTTTCACCATATTTCAAGAGCATAGTGGAGAAAAATATTTAGATGTGCTTATTTATGTGCTGAAATAATTGTACTGTTAAGGGAAATTTATATACTGATCCTTTTCTGGTAATAGCCCATTTTAGAAATGTCTATGAGAAATGAGATCATTTGTTGAAAAATTAATATTGAAATAAAGAAAAAGTGTCAGACAGACACTATTTATTTTCTATTTTTCATTATTATGGCTGACATAAAATACAGCAACAATGTGAATTGAATTTAATTCTGGAAGAGTGCATTTGTATGAAATAAATATTATTAAAGGTAACAATTATTATTAAAGTAGGCATAGAGCCTAAAGAGCATTAAATTCTCTTGAATATACAAGTAGAATTTCTCAACAAATGACTGAGTGATCCTATTATTCAGAATGTTTACTGAATCACAGTAAAACTGTTTCAAACCAAAGATAGCTACATTTTTGAGTGTAAACTAATCTGATACCAAACTGAATTTACACATAGACAAAAATGACTAACATTGACCATTTCACATGCAAGAAGAGATATAAACACACAGGGTTGCCATAAAGCTGCCCTAGTGCACAGTAGTAGAATTTAAGACTAAAGACTTAAGAAGACTTCCTCTCTTATTTATTTTACAAATTGTGGTAAGTGCCACAATTTTCAAACTTGCTAGAGAAAAATAAATATATTCTGTGAATGGTCAGAAAGTATTCCTAGAGAACCCCAAAACTTGAGAACTAGAATATTCATTGACAGTGATATAGTAATTTCTTGTTTCAGCATTAAATCATGAAGGCAATGTTTGGGCAGGAAAAGAGTGAGAAAACACTTGGAGTCTACTTTACAGGAGAAGGATGTCATATCCTCTGCCAGATCACAGATGAATGAATAAATATTACAAATATATATTTTATAAATATTTGACTTTCTGTATATGAACTGTTTCTTTTCTTTTCTTTTTTGTTCCTTTTTCTTTTTCAGGGAAATATATTACTAATATCTCCACAGTGGTGCATATAACTCATTTCTTCTGGTTTTTTACTAAACTACCTTTTCCTGTTCTCCATATATTTGTCTTCCTCATTACATATTCTTCCAAATTTTGGAGGCATTTTCATCAAACATTGGACAAAATTGTACCATGTGGTAATTGCACTATCTGACTGGAACATGAATCCTAAATGTTTCACTTACTTTTTTCTAAAAATAAGGGAAGATTAATGGAGCAATAGGCCTTTGCTCAGAGAAAAAGGGTTGTCATAAGAACCCAAATATTTGAATAATGTAAATCATTAAAAAATAATAATAATACTGTGAAGATTCCAACAGAGTGTTCAACTTTTTATATTTTTTTCTCTTTTAAGTTCTTAAGATAGGTAATTGAGATTAATAATATAAAAGTAAGATATAGAATGGAGAAGGCATATATTAGCATTGGAATGAAAACAATTCCAATAGATCCTCAGTTAATCAAACTGTGCAAACATGAGGATTTGAGAAAACTAAAACAGATATAGAGAAAGTGGTATGAAGACAAAATAAGTGAAATATTAAAAGGTATAAAGTAGATAATAGTAGGTAACGTAGTAATTAAAACAAGCGTTGTGAAAGTGCAAGAAGCAATATCTTAATTAGAAGACAATGAAGAGCAATGCCCATGAGTCAAGGAAAAATTTAATTTCAAATCACATTCCCTATTACACACTTTTTGGATATATCAGACCTATAGTCTTTAATATTTCTTATTTGCTCAAACTTGAAAATAGATCTATAGGCTACAAAAAGTGTGCAGTTTTGTTTGACATACAACAAAACAAAAGATAAAAACATTCAAAAATTTAGGCACATTTCACACACATTTAAACACTTACTTTTATTCAAATATATGCACATAATGATAAATGAAATAATATGTGAGAAAATCACTACCAAGAGGAAAGCTTGATATTTTGAAGAAATGGAATTCAAATGTTTAATAATCTGTAAGAGGCTATTGAAACTAGTGAATATACGTGGTGGACCCGGTGGGTGGGGTAGGGCAACACCCTGGTGCACTATTGCTGGGGTGACACAAAAAAGTGTATAAGGTCACTGTTCATATTCAACTTTCTTATAATATTATGTAACCATTGCAAATAATAAGAGAAAGTATGTGATGTTGTAGCAACACTAGTTTTAATTGTATATCATTGACTCCATATTTTATTTGATAGAAAATCATACAAATTTAGTAACAAATTATAGGCATGTTGATTTTGAAATTTAGAAAAGTGGGGTTGCCGGGTTGACAAAGTTCTTGGTCATATACATGGTTGGTTGTTCACCGATTGTCCATTCAGTCAATAGTTTGAGATAAAGTGGAGAATGACTCATGGGCAGAATAGTTTTCTAATGATTTTCGGCATTTTCCCAATTCTACAACATTGCAGATTTATACTTTTCCTTACAGAAAACTGTTATTTAAAGATACATCTGTAAATATGGTCATGTGCAATTTTTCGATGCATATCTTTTGAATACTTTTTGCTCAAGGTATAGACAATTAAAAATATTATATTTTCTCAAAAAAGCCTCCAAATTTAATTAGTGATATTCACTGATTATCAGAATTCAGTCGATACGCGCATTATGAGAATTAACGGAATAACACAAACAAATATTTTATTTTTTTCTGACAAAATCCAAACTAATTCGTTATTTTTGTATTTTTCTCCGAGTTTCTGAGTATCTAACAAAACCATGCACTCGTATCACATGGTTGCACAGTTTTCTTTCAATTTCTGCGCGCATTAAAAATTAGTTATATGTAAATATTTTTAATCATTTAATATTTATAATTATTTTTAAACAATATTAGCTAGGAAACAGTCGAGAAATAGTCATCAAATAATGAGAATATTGAAAAGGAATCGCTAATTATTGGCGCAGAGAGTTGAAAGCTCGCCTCCCGCTCTCGGTGACTCCACCGACAGCAGCGGTTCGTATCGTTTTCCACGGCGACAAGCACCCCTCATCTCTGCGTTCGGAGAATCTCGGCTGTTAGGTAAATTCCGAATGTGCTCGCCTAAACGTGCCATTCGAAGCAAAGCGGGGCGGTGTTTTTGAGTGCGCTCTGATTCTTGGCCGCTTTTACTGAACTTAAGTGTTATTATTTCTAATAACTGCAATGCGTTATGAGGAAACTTACTGAAGATATTGTAGTTCGGTTGAAGACAAAACATTTGATTCACATAAATTTAAGAAGCCTTTGAAGGTGTAGAAAGACCAACCCAGCCTTTCGACAACTAAAATTTACCAAAAGAAATACAGTTTACATCAGACACTTTGGGTGTCTAGTTTTAAGATATACAAATTGTTCTGTGGAAGCTCCTTTAAAAATAAAAGGCAAGTCCAACAAAAGGCGCCAGTAAAATAATGGGTTTGTATAAAAATTTCAATATATAGTGGTATATCTGTGTGTATGCGTGTGTTAGATAAGCATTTTGCCGAAAATAAAAGCAGCATACTGTTGTTTGATACACAAGTGAAGAAAATTTAAAGAATAAAATTGGAGCCGTTTTTGATGAAATAATTGTTTAAAAATTGCCTCTTTGTCAAGCATTATTACGTGGAAACTACTCATATTTTTGAAAATTGTGTATAACCTTATTTCAAGATGTCTGAACAACAGGTTTCATTCAGAAAAAAATCTATTTTGAATATTGTAGTTTTAGAAAGTCGCCAAAAAAACCTTTTGCAATTTTCAAAAAATAAGAAATTTCAACATTTTGAAACATTATTTAAACAAAAGACAAAGTTTTATAAAAAAATTGGAACCATTTTTGAGAAAATTTTGAAAATGTTGTTTAGGCTTCATGTAAAGTATCCAGAAAATCAAATTTTCGTTTCGTACTCACAAGGTCCACAATTTGTTCAGATGATTTTCTCCAAATTTGATATTTCCCTATCAATCTGAACGTTTTAAGCTCTAGTGTTGACCATATTTAAGCAGCCAGACAGACGTTTTGCCGTCAAATGGTTTTTTGGTATCAAGAACCCACAAAACATAGTTGTGACTACACGAGTTAGAGGACGTAATTTACCACATACAGTTCTACTTTTTCATTACCAGAGCCGTTATAGAAGGTAGTCAAAAAATTGCAGAAATGCACACTAGTAAGTGATTACAATGTCAATTAAATGGTATATCATCAAATATGGCATAGTATTTCTGTTCAATTGAACAAAAGGAATTAATTAACTTCCTAAAGGTTACTTTGAAGAGTTCTTATTTATTTTAACGACACCTTGGAAAAATTAGTGATTCCATCGAGTTGCTGTGAGAGGAATGTAAGTGCAATGTAAGGGCTGGTTTAGAAAATATTTAAGAATGACCTTTGAAAACAATTAAAGGAAACATTTTTATGATAAATTTGATTTCTAATATTAACTATACATTTTAATATTTTTTTTCCAATTGTATATTTTGATTTATAAACAATTTGTAAATGAAACATCTAAATTATATGTTTTCTAAATAATTTTGATACTCTTTCTGTTGTTACTAAAATAGTTTGATTTTAAATTCAAAGTCATTTAAATATTATATTTTAGAATGCAGAATTTCTTTGTTATTCAAATTAATTCACAATTCGTGTATTACTTCGATGCATGTTTATAATTGCTTTAAAACATTACTTTTATTTCTGAAGCCTGTTTCACAGTCCCCATTGCTCCTGCTAAAGTAGACCTAGACACAAGTTTAAGTAATATATGGCTGTCTCTGTGTGATCTAAGGGTATTGTTTCTGAATATGTAATACTTTCATTGCAATGACAATCATTTTAAGGGAATTGTGAAAATACAAATAAAAACTGTATTTTTAGCATTAAATTTCTCA